TTGCTGAAGCTTTGTCCTAACAGCTCGGAAGGGCTCGGTTTTGCTTATTTGATCCTGTTTTGACTTTGAATGGCTCTATTTTAGCTTTCCTTGGAGCTTGGATTTACTTGTTTTGGCCCTTACCCGAGAGGTAGCTTGGGAGCTTGGTTTGGTTTGTTCTTAGTCCTACCCGTGAGCTTGTTGGTAGATCATTTGGTTTGGCTTTGGCCCATGCTGGGCTCGGTTTTGGCATCTTGTGAGTGTTTTTGGCTTAAATATACATATTGTGGAGGAATTTTCCATAGCTTGGAGAAGTTCCATAGTTATTCTTGTTTGAAACATATGGTAGTCATATATTTTGATGTCTTGAGGGCATAGAGATGTTATCTAGTCTTAGTTGTGGCCTGGGTTTGAACCTTAGTTGTGGCTCGGTTTAGCTTGGGCTGGGAGCTCGGTTTTGCCTTGTCTTGCCCCTACCCGAGAAGTGGCTTGGGTTTTGATTTTTATTGGCCTTAGCTCCTACCCGAGAGTCTATTTTGGCGTACTGTGTTGTCCTTATTCGAGGACTGTTAGCTGGTTTTGGTGGATTGGTTTGGAAGTTTATAAGGCTGCAGTTTTGATATTTGTTTGGTTCCTAGCCGTGGATTTGTGTTGTGGTTGAGTTAGCCTCCCCCTTTGGTCCTACCCATGAGCTCAACATGAGGATTTGCTCCACTTGCAGTCCTTACCTGTGAGACCTATTGGAGGTTGTTTGGTGTGATGGAGGTTGTTTGGTGTGATTTAGTCCTTCTTGTTGGGCTTGAGCTACTTGGATGATTGTAGGTGGATTGAAATTATGATTATATTTTGCACTCTCTTATGTATATCAAAGATCCTTATATAGCTAGTTTGGCTTGCCTTAATTGTGAGCCTTACTTGTTGTTCCTTGGGTTGCCTTGGCCAAGAGCCTTAGCTGCTGTTCATCTCTTTGTATTGAGCTTGGCTGTGAGCATATATGTGGTTTTAGCCAGATGTTTTTATGCTTATCTAACATATGAAACTTTTGATTACATTTGGAATTGGATGACTTTGATGTTGGCGTGATTTTGGAAGTATACCCTAGGATAATTTCCTTTTGTTCGAGTTGTGGAATTTGAAAATTCATTTTCAGGGGAGCATGTGGTTGGTTTAAATTGAATTCATAAAGGATGTTTCGGGAGTTTGACATTAAAGTCGTGATATCGTTTGAATGCAGGCTCGGGCGTGTGTGAACATGTAGCTAGTGGTAGAGCCATGTGTGCGACTGTCACATTGACTTGGGTTGATCCACTTATAAAAACTGTGAGAAAGTGATATCCTTTCGGATTGATTCAAGGATCTTCGGGTTTTTCTTTTCAGGTCTTTTTGTCATGAGTTTTGAGAGCTGATTCATCCTTCGTTCTTTTCGATATTTTAGGTTGATCGGTCCCTCCTCTCTCTCACCCTGTTTTTGTTCCTCTCCCCCCATTTTTGTTCTTTTTTTTTCTTGTTTCTTGGTTCGATTTTTGATGCTTATGTCCGACACATAAGTATCCATCCGATACATAAGTGTTCACGTATGGCCTTTTGCTATACGTGAAACAATCAAGCAAGGTCGCAAGCAGGTCAGTTTTGTTTTGGGGCTTAGGGTGGTGATGACAAAGACACACCTGAGATCGAGCAGAATGATATGTCATCCTACGACATCAGGATCCGATTCAGGAGCCCGGTGAGCTGTAAGATAACAATATCATTCACCGACACAAGACTAGTGAGAGCTGACCTAAACTTTCTTAGGTTGTTGGTAGCCTTATGGCTGACAGCGCGATCGACTCGTGGACAACTATTTTTCAAAATTGATAAAAATAAATTTGATAAGGACAGATACACCTTTTTCTAAAAAAAATATACTTTTCGTCATAAACAAAATTGATACCAGCCCACTTTTTGCATGTTTGAAAATTATGCGCATGCTGAAAACATAAATTTTAAATACATTTTAAACATTGGTTGTGCACCTATTGATCACCTGTTTAGGCTAAGGAATACCCTCCTGAGTTAGGTTCGATATGACACATTTCTAGTTGAGTGACGGACTTCACACATCCGGGTGACCGAGTAGCCTTCGACGACCCTCGAGTACTAATATATAGTTAAGTCTAGCCCCGACTCAAGTGCTTGCGGTCCCCTCTTTTCGGACTTTTTCATATATATTATCGAATTTTTTGAACAAAGCACTCGTGGTCTCTTTTCGGGATTTTTCCGTGTTTTCTACGATTTTAATCGATTTGTTGATTCGTCGATTTCCTCGCATTTCTCTTCTTGTGAGTCTTTTGACGATCTTTCTCAAGATTTCTGGACGATATTTTTTTTGTTTTTCGCTTATATAAAGCATTTCAGCCTGTTTTCTCAAATTTTGTTGCTTGTACATGTTGCATCAATTACACATAAGGAACAACGGATCTCTCAGGTATACAAGTTTGTTTTATGTTTACAGCATGTTATTCTCTTATAATCACTTCCCTGTTGTACATTTTACTTTTCTTTACACCGCATGTTGTACTGCTTTCTTTATTGCATACTCTACTGTTTGTCATGTGCTACATATTTTACTGTTATGCTATACACTATACAACTTCAACATGTTATCTATAAAAATATTTGAAGAACTACAACCATAAGACTACTGGATTTGACATCATAACCTGATGCCCTAGAAAACTTAAAACTCGTCACGACAAGGAACTTGGAACTAGCGCGATGGGCAACACGACCATCTTTAACAGCAGAATATGTCTTCCCCAGCTAAACCATTCTTTTCCTAGAAATTAAAATAACAATCTATAGGATTTCAAAGTTGTTCGCCTAGCGCAACATAAATCCTCAACCTTTTCGTTAGGCATTTGTATAGCTCTGTTATACGATCTAAGCCCTAACTCGTTTTAGGATTCTGAGATTGTCGTTCGTTACGACCTAAATCCTCACATCTTCCCGGCTATTTGTGTGATCGTTTCACACGAATGTAAGCTCTAAATAAATAAAATTGGCAGGATAAAACACTTGAATATTTCTCCTCGAAACTGAAGCCAAACCATAGGGTAGACTGGGAAGTCACCGAGGATCTCCTCTGGATCTGTGACATCCCCTAGTTCTTCTTCCTATGGATTCTGTAATAAATGTTCCAAATTTGAGTTATTCCCCTTTCACACATCTTTGTCCGATTTCGTTGAAAAGTCTCATCCTTTTGAAGTCCTTGAAGATAATTTTTTCTGATTTTTATCGAGAGTATTCTTAAGTGATTTCAGTCATTTAAGATGTAATTAACTATAGGGGTTTACCCTTATATGAAGCTTTTCAGAACCCAGCTTAAAATAAACCCTATTTAATTTTTCATATTAAATAAGAGAATTTGTCGGCAAATAAAACGGCTTCGCAGACCAAACAGACGTCATATATTTCTTAGTTTATTTGATCGAGCCTCATCCTCAAGTCTTGTGTTTATCCCTCGGGATAGATACGGGATTTGAGGTAGAGCGCTCTTTCATTTAAACAGTGAAGATAATGAGGTCAGTTTGATTTCATATTTTTTTTCTTAAATTAAATCTATATGTAAATTAAAACGTTCTTCCGAAGCGGGCGACGGGATTTCGATTTCGGTGACCGACAGCTTCTTACGGGTAACTCCACCAACTCAACTTTTTATCGCCAACATGTTTTTATAACAATAAATTTTCAAAATGAATTCAAATCATGCATAATGGACAAACGTAATCTTTTACGAGCAAACGAGCATAATTGATAAGGTTCGAGCAACAAAATTTAGTATTTTAAGATATCCCAACAATGATTATTTGGAGGAGATACTGTCATTAAAATACTCTCAAAGCTTAACGCAAAATTATATGAGGCCTAAATTTCAATAAAATATTAAAATGCATGAAAATTGATAAATTTAAAAATTGTTAAAGAAATTTACCTTTGTAAGCTTCTAGCTCACAAAGAGCTAATTGCATATCATATGCATATCCATGATCGCTCTTAAAGATTTCATATCAGTAAGAATTTGCATTTGTCCTTTCATTGGAATTTTTGCCACTAAATGACAATACTAAAGGGTATGATTATGATTGGGGTTCTTTGATACAGTAGTTCACTGTAAAGTAGCATCATTATATTATGATTATGGTAGAGCATATAGGCTCTCCAATGGCTCAAATCCCTTGAGATTTGAATCATAGATTTACTTGATAGGGCATATAGATTTACTTGATAGGGCATATAGGCCCTTGTTTGGCAAGTTCAACTTAAAAATGTCTCCTATTAGACACATTTATCCTAGTTCTTTAAGGACTTTTTTGTATGCTACTCAGCTGCTGACAAAAATTTACGAATTAGTTTGGGTCAACCAACTTCTCTGACCAGGTAAACCAGTGTTTATGATAACTAATAGTGATGACACTATAAGATATTGTTTGGTTTTTTCATCATTTTGTCACTATTTTCTCTAAGTTAACAACAATAATTATCCTCGATTTTAAAACTTAACTATCACTACCGTGAAGTGCTTAGCATCTACTAACTAGTTTTAATCAGAAGTTCTATTCTGTGTTGGGGAGGCTTAGTTAATCAGAGGATATTTTGCCTATGTTAAACCTAAAATCAGAGTATAAAGTCATTTCAAAAAAAGGCAAAATATTTAGATAACATCTTATAAATAATCTATTATGCCTTTTGAAAATTTGACCTAAAACCCAACTCTCTTAGAAGAGTCAGACGTAGACAAACTTATAATATATAGGTGGGGACTTTCTATGAAGCTATTCTAAGCTTTGAACTATGTCTCGTACTCCTATGTGCTAGGGACCTAGCTATAATGCCTGCAATATTATTTAGAGCTCTGCGTCTTTGTCCTCACATAACTTTTCTTAATGTTGCTTCATAGCTTATGTGTTAAATAATATGTTTGTAGCTCATAACCTACCTATAATGCCTTTTTTCTCATTTCTTATGAATTCTCTCTTTAGGGTCATATTCGCCGGCATCTATCCCAAGAAGCCCGTGGTTGCACCTATTTGGTACTGTGGTTGGATTGCGACCGTGAGGGTGAAAATATATCCTACGAAGGTTGTTTCTTGCTTGGCTTTTATAGTTTTTGTTAATATTCTTGGTTAGATGGTGAGTTAATTCACATATTTGTATTTTCTCCCGTATTTTCTTGCAAATTTTTCTTAAGCCAAGTCTCTTTCAGTTTTTTGTTTCCCGAACCTTATATTTGGTTAATTATAATTCTCTTTGTTGTCTAATTGGCAATAATTCAGAAAACTGGTAATATACGACGCTTAAGGATCTTGGTTTCAATAATGTTAACCTAGATTGAGATGCACAAAAATATAGAAAACGCAATTCACATATTGGTAGCTTTCAATTTTAGCAAAAAGGATTCATCACTTTTGATGCAAAATTGACAAGAACATGGTTCAACATTTTAACAGCTACTGAAGTTTAAAATTTCTTAAAAAAAGTGAGAGAATATGAAATTCTATAAAGGTCAAGATTCATACACAGAAGGACGAGATCGAAATATTGATTTGAGAGTTGTTGGAGGTTGGGATCATATAGCCCAATGTAAGCCACTTCTCTAGCCCAGTCTTGCTATCGAAGAAATGGGAGTCGGTGTTTCTGTATGGATCATTAGGCAACGAATAAAGAAACAATACTTAACAAATTTTTCATTATGGTGATAGATGCATTATGGTGATAGATGCGTTGTTTGAAAAGTTATTAGGGACTGCAGTATCCTCCAACATTGACTTGAAGTTAGGGTAAAAATAAATTCTGATGCGGGCGAAGGATGCACACAAGACTACATTCTGAACTCATGAGGGTTACTACCAACTTCTGATTAAATGGAAAGGATTGTCAATTGACAATGCTACGTGGGAGCCATACTATTTGATCCAACAGTAGTTTCTTCTCTCCCACCTTAAGGACAATATGTTTTTTGGGAGGAGAGTAATGTTAGATCGACACTTACAACGTTTACTACCACACCAAGCCCGCCAACTAATTTGAAGACTTATTTTAGGCGCAAGGCTTAAAAAGCAATTTAGTCTTTTATTAGTTATTATACTGGGGTATAAATAGGGTTTATTATGCTTAGAGTTAGGTTATGCTATGTGATTGTTGCTTGAACCTTGAGGTTAGTGTTTGGGAGAGATCACCAACCTCTTGAGTTGTAGGTATTTATATTTTATGTATTTGAGTTGTGTTTCTTGGTGCTATTGAATTAAAATATTTGGTTGTCCAAACTTTTGTGGAAAACTGCTATGGTTCCTATCCCAATGATAATTGATTACTATTGAAAAAAAAAAGTGGATAGCTATCGTTCCTTATGGTACATACATTTTTAGGGGCATTTACGTAGCACCCAATTAAGGTCGTAAATGAACCAATGCACTCGATGAACAACTCGAACTTGGTTTGATTAAGACTCAATTATGTTCTTTCAAATAAATAAATAAGCTTGAGTAATTTTTAAAAGATCGAATCTTAAATGAACATAGTCGAACATGTTCATTTTTATTCATGAACAAACTCATTTGTTGTTCAATAAGTTGCTTGTTAAATGCTCGATATTAACCTCGATGATAGCTCGTATCATATATGATATATTATTTAAATAAAATTTAATTAACTAGAATATTAACTCGTTTGTTGATAGCTTGATGATAGCTCGTATCATATATGATATATAAATACTCGATATTAAGTTTATGTAGGTTTTAAAGTTTTCATTTTTAGTGATTTGGTAGGATTTAGGTTAAATCATGCTTAAATGCTACACAAATCATTTTACTAAATAGACCCCAAGTGAGGGATTTAAGGCAAAATGGATAAGAAACGAATTTAAGATACTGTAAAGTTTAGAGTTTATATTCAACAAATGAATGGTTGCATCAAATTGTAAACTTATTTATTAATTTTTTGTATGAAAATCTTGATACTCGTTTGAATTTTTAATTCGTTTAAATACCCATTCACTTACCATAAACAAATCAAGTTCAAACATTACAAAATTTAAATAAGTCAAGTTTGAACAATATATGAAAGCTCAACACAAGCTCAAGCCGAACATGAATAAATTATGACTATACCAAGCCAAGTACAAACTATGATATACTCGGCTCAACTCGGCTCGATTAGAGCCCTACACCCAATTCATATGTTATTACATTTCTAACACCTAAACTTTATTTTTTACATGTATAACACCCAAATATTTAATATCACAATTAAAAATGTAAATAGGCAAGGTGGTATGGATGTATAAATTGAAGTATAGGTGTTAGATATGTGAATACATAGGAATTGAGTGGTATGTAAGTAAATCTTCCATATTTTTAATTACTGCTATCTGTGAAAGCTTAAAATAGATGACTAAATGAATGCAACTTTTCTTCTAGTTATTGAATGCACAGGATTCAGTGAGAATGAGGCTGGTGGAAGAATACTGCGTGCTCGATTTTCATCCGTCACTGAGAAGGACATATTGGAGGCTTTGGGAAACCTCGTCAAACCGAACAAAGCTGAGGCCTTGGCAGTAGATGCACGTCAAGAGATTGATTTGAAGGTTGGAGTTGCCTTTACTCGGTTTCAAACTCGCTATTTTCAAGGAAAATATGGGAATCTTGACTCCAGGATAATCTCGTAAATTTCCAATTTTCTTTTCCTCATCTTCATGCTATATTTTATATTTTTTCGGTTACACATTGCCAATTTAAGCTATTATTGCAATTGATTTGACATTTTTTTTACTTTGCATGCTTATCTCTTTCTAATTTATCTACCAACTCCAACTGCTTTGTTTTGCTGCAATTTGTTTTTGAAGGCATTCTAAAATATGTTGAATTCATGCATTTATTTATTTCTGTTTGGCCATCCAGCAGCATTATTGTTCTTTTGAATCAACGAGTTGTATTTATCAAGAACTTTTTTTATTTATTATCCTGTTACAGTTCGTGATTTTGAGATTATTTTAGCTTAAGGTTTGTAGTGCAGACACCCTAACAAAATTGATTATTTCCAGGTTAGTGATGAAAAAAATGTTGTTTCATGAAGGCCACAGGGGCTCTCTTATAGCCCCTATACTTTTTTTTTAATTTATTTATTTTTAAATTTTTTTATGGCCTCTGTTCAACTTAGTTCTGGTTTTTAGGGATATAATGGGAGCTCTCTTATAAACCCTGAAACTGCTAAGGCTTTACACTTCACCTTCTTGATAATTTATTATTTTCAAGAGATGCCCATGATTATACATTGTAGTTTTCGTATTAATTAAATTGTTTAGTATTTATTCAGTTATTCATATATAAATTGAAATAATATTATTATAGCATTATTCTATTAAACTCGTAATCATATTTATTAGTAATTTGATCTGTTCATATTAGTGACAATAATTTTTACCAAACAATCATAACTCATCGCATATCGGATAACAATACAGACATGATTTTATCTTACAATGAACTATAGTACCTTAGTCTGATTCTTAGATCATGCATGCATTTTTCTACCATTTGTTTCAGCTATGGACCTTGCCAGACTCCTACACTGGGATTTTGTGTGCAACGTTACACGCAAATCATGACCTTTAAACCGGAAAAATTTTGGTATTTCAGTCCTTATATAATAAAAGATGGTTATGAGCTGCAATTGGAGTGGGATCGAAAAAGACTATTTGACTTTGATGTAAGTTTTATTTTTATTTTTATTTTCCTAGAGGCCGTTTGGGATCACTTTTATTTTTTATTTTTATTTTTATTTTGTTTTATTTACATTTTGATATGAAACGAAACATATTTGTTTACGATTAAAGTATGATTGTTTTTAAAAACACCCAAAATATTTAAAATTATTTCAAGTGTTTTAAAAAGCATTTGAATTTATTTTTAGAAATAAAAATAAAAACATATAAAAAGCACGCTAAACAAACATGTTTTGAAAATAAAAGAGAAAACTAAAATAAAAATAAAATACAAATTTAATGCCAAACAAAGCCATTAGGGGCCATTTGGGATCACTTCACTTATTTGTTTTTGCTTTATTTTGTTGGCGTTTTGATTTAAATTAAAATATATTTGATTGTGGTAGTTGTTTTTAAAATCACTCAATGTTTTTTTAGTTGTTTCGAGTATTTTTAAAAATAGTTTGATTTGTTTTTGAAAAAACACAAAACATATTAAAATTATACCATTCAAACATGTTTCCAAAAACAAAAAAAAGAAACCAAATTGTTGCCAAACAAGCCCTTGGTGTTTCCTCATCACATGCGTGCTTTTCATTTTTTTTCCATTTGAAAAAGAGGATTCATAAATCTGATTACAAATAGTTGGGAGAAGCTAATAGTGACGAGTTGCTTCTATAATTATGCCAATTTCTTAAAGCAAACTGTAGGTTGCTGGAATGTTTCAAAAACTAGTACTTGATCATAGTATTCTTGAGGTGACTGCTGTGTCCAAGAAAGAAGAAAGCAAGAGTCGTCCTTGTGGCCTTAACACGGTGAACTTATTGAAGGTAAGTTCTAGAATTTTTTTGGTGGAATAGCTTTATAATCTAATTTTAATTACAGCTTTGTTGTTTTGAACATCTTTTCTCTGTGAATGATTTGAGCTCTTGGAAAGCTAGATTATATTTCTCTATTCTCTTCTGGCCTGCTTTTTAAGCAACAAAAGAGGGTTTATTTAGGGAAATTTATATACATACAACACAGATATTTTTTTTTTTTTTTTGTGCATATCTAACACCTATAATTTGATATTTACACTTATAGCTCCTAGTTGTCATAAACCTATACAGAAAATGTGTAATTTACTTTTAAGAAGGTAGTGATGATGATATTTATGATTTGATGTGAAAAATTTGAGTGATATGCATTTAAGTTTGAATGTTTAGATGTTAGATATGTAAATACATAAGAAGTGTGTGGTATGTATTTAAATGCCTCATTTATTTATCATCTGCACACTTTTTGTTTTTGTTTCTTGATGCACTGTTGCTTTTCTCTATTATTTTTTAACATCCACTGCATAACGTGGATAATTATTTCGCTTAATTATCTTTGCCTTAGCACAAGTAGAGTTTGTAGAGGTTGACTTTCTGCTAGAAACAAAACTCAAATGGTAAAATTGATTTTTGGTATGGTCCAAGTAATACTTTTATGGTGAATTTTTCTGTAGTAATGAAGGACTTCGGCTTCAAGTTAACTCAAATATCATATATGAGGGTTATTTAGTCAGATAATTCTATGTTTAGCCCCCGTTCAAGCTTGTTTTGTATGCTGATTTCTGTGACTTAGGGACATTTACATACATAACACACACTTCTTATGAAATTACATATCTCTCACCTAAACTTTTATATTTACACATATAACACTCAAATCTTTAATATCACATAAAAAATAACTGTGTTACTTCTTAAAAGTGAAATACACATTTTCATGTTTAGGCTTAAAGCATTAAAGTGCTATGTATGTAAATATAACAGTTTTGATATGAAATATGTAAATATATAAGATCTGCTTATGTAAATTTTCTTATTAGTTAATGCTCTGGTGCTCTTTTGAAAATTATGGCATCATTCATATTACAAACTTTTTATGGTTGCCATTTCCCAAAATTTTTCATTTGGTACTTTATCTTTCCTAGGTTGCATCAAGTGCGTTGGGATTGGGACCACATGTTGCCATGCAATTAGCTGAGCGACTTTACACTCAAGGATTTATCAGGTGGTCCACATGTATTTTAAGCATTCGATTCCCATTCTTTTTCTCATCACTAGGCCATTAGATAATACATCTTTGGGAAAATTACATAACATACCACACATTTCTTATGTATTTACATATCTAAGCTCAAAGTTTGATATTTACATTTACAACGTATTGGCGTCATAAACCTTATGTTGGCCTTTAAAAGAGAAGCATAAAACAATGTTATATTTTTGATGTGATGTTAAAAGAACTTAGTGATATGCAAGTAAATATGAATGTTTAGTTGTTAGATATGTAAATGCATAAGATGCCCCCAAAAAAAAACAAAGGCTGTTGTCATGCACACAAGTCTATAGGGTTTGTTTTCCCAAAAATTCCATGTGCAATTTTTATATTATTTGTTAGGATGTCCAGTGCCGTGGAAATAACATATTTTCTATCTCCACTATATTTGTTCTATTTAAAATAAATCATATTCATTGGTCCAAGTTGTTTTTGCATTTCACTTCCATTTTCATAATCTGCACTTTATTTTTAGGTGTATTTACATACATTCCACACAATTCTTATGTCTTTACATATCTAACACCTAATGTTTGATTTTTATACCTATACACCTTTAACTAAGCTTAAAAAAGTGTGTTTGTTTTTTTTTTTTTTTTGGTTTTAGATCAATGATAGTGGTACTTTTGATGTGTTATGAAAGATTCAAGTAGTATTAAGTGTAAAAATTAAAATTTGGATGTTAGATATGTAAATATATAAGAATTATGTGGTATGTATGCAAATGCCCTTTTTTTATAATTGTAATTTTCATCTTTCTGAGCTTTCATTTTAAATATTTTTTTATGTTATTTAATAGCTATCCACGTACTGAAAGCACTGCCTACCCCGCATCATTTGATTTCAAAAATGTGCTTGGAGCGCAACAAAATAATCTTATGTGGGGAAATCATGTGCGGTCGTTATTGACTGATGGCTTTCATAAGCCGCGCACAGGATCCGATGTAGGTGATCATCCTCCCATTACTCCAATGAGGGCAGCAACAGAGGAGATGGTTGGACATGATGCTTGGAGACTCTACCAATATATTTGCCAACATTTTATTGGTACTGTCAGCCATGATTGCAAGTACACACGGTTCGTTCCATTATTTTTCAAATTTAATGCCAACTGAAATTATGGATTTTGTGCATATTTTCAATCAGGAAAATATATTTTGATATTTCTTTTAATTAATCAAGCATTATTGGTTTGAGAAATTAAAATAATCCTCGACTCGTTGTAGAGGATCATTTTAGTCTCAGAGTCTATAAAATATCAATTTAGTCCCTATACTCTTTTAATATGAGCTGAAATAGTCCTCACGGGTGACTATTTCAGCCTTTAAAAAGTCTAGAAGCTTATTTGACACTTCTATGAACTCTTGGACCAAAATGGCCCTATGTAAACAATTACGAGACTATTTTGGCACTTTACTCTTATTATTATTGTCCTTCAACACTTTGTGTTTGGTCATATGGCTAAATCAACAAGGAAATCATGAACCTTGAATTTGCGTCTTGCCTAATCCGAGTGAAAATGATAAAATCAATAAGAATTAGCGGTGTTAGTCTTGAACCGGGTATATTAAGTAGTTAGTGTTCTGTGTTCATTGCTTTGTGTTGAAAGAATCATAGTTAATTTATTTAGATTTTTTGAGTTGTACAAGCTATGTGGCAATTGAAATGTGAAACACCTATTCTTTGTTATTATTTTTCTTTAGCTTTGATTATTTGAGAATTTAATTTGAAGTATCTGGCTGATGTTCACAACAGCGCCATCTATTTGAATTCTTTGTCTAGTAAGCAGAAGATGATAATGTATACATATTGACAACTTATTAAACATAATGCATATTTCTTTTTTGGTGGGTATATTTATTTCTCTAACCACTAGATTGCTTTGGTGAAGTAAGTTTAATCCTACTTCACCCTCACCCTGATTTTACCATCCCGCTCACTCTTTGCATTACAACACCAAAATTCTCCGGATTGATTTTTCTCTAATGTTACCGTCCTCTCGCTTACTTTTACCATTTGCTTGATAACAAATCTCCATATATGTTTCTTAGAACCCTCTCCTCACATTTCAAGTGAGATAAACCTTAATGCAATTGTGCTGAAAACAAAAGGCAACATCAATGACAATGACAACAAATCATAAATGTCTTATTTCTCTTTTCCCATCTCAATGGTGTAAATCGTGTCACACCCCTTGTTAAAAATTAGGGAATTTTACATGCATACCACGATTTTTATGTATTTACATATCTAAAACCCAAAGGTGATCTTTACATTTATAGAACCTTAGTGTCTTAAACCTATGCATTAAAAGATATATTTCACTTTTAAAAGGTAGTTATGGTGATATTTTTTTATTATATGATATTAAAGATTTGAGTGGTATACATGTAAATATGAATGTTTAGGTGTTAGATAGGTAAATACATGAGAATTTTGTGGTATGTGTGCAAATGCCCCTAAAAATTATTGGGTTGAGCCTTGTAGCCTTTCTCATAGTGTAAATCTTGTCATACGCTACTATGGAATTTGTAGGAGCATGCCTCATAACCTTATTAACAAGAAATAATCCTTAAGAATTCTGAGGAGACGATATCCATGTTTAATCTCGCCTCTCATCCCTCTACATTTGTGCCACTACCTTCGTTACCAGGAGAGTAGTTGCTGGTCACCTTCTGTTGCCCTCAACCTTTCCGAGACTCACTTAGATGGACAAACTTCATCCTTATGTTGCTATTCCAGATCCATCAGCTGGTTGAAGAAGAGCCGTTTTTTTTAAGGTCCACCTTTAAACTATTCATAGCATCACACAAGCGTCCTTGATCATTTGATTTCATTAAATAAAATAAATTAAATAGCAAATTCTCAACAAAGTTTCTTTTAATTTTCTTTGCCCAACAAATAGCACATTCTCAAACCTAACCCTGCAAATTTTTTATCTGAAGACAATCTAGATCTTTAACAGCTGAAACTATGTATGGATATATTAGATGTTTGTTATTCCAGGACAAAAGTAGAATTTACTGCTGGAGGTGAGCTTTTCCACTGTGTAGGGCTGCTTGTGACCAACAAAGGATTTACATCAATCATGCCATGGATGGCAGTTAATGAGAAGAACCTTCCTCAGTTCACGAAAGGAGAGAGAGTCAATATTCTAAAAGCGGACTTGCAAGAGGTATCTTGTTTCTCATCTATGTATTTACAACATTGGTATGATTTTTATTGAGTATAATGCCAAAATAATCCCCTGACTGTTTAAATGGGGTTATTTTTGTCCATGAGTTTATAAAAGTGTCAAACTAATCCTCAGATTCTTTTAATATAGTCAGAATATAGTCAATTGGGAGGACCATTTTACCCCCTTTAGAAGAGTTTGGGGATTAAATTGACAATTTTTATAAACTCAAAGACTAAAATGACCCCCAAAAAAAGTCAGGAGACTATTTTGTTACTTTTCTCTATTTTTATTCCTTCTTTGTGAACATGCTCTTCTACATGCATGTTAGTTTTGACTGTTTGCTCTTCATTATTGCCTTTTTGAATCCATATATAACTTGAAAGGAAGGCCCTTTAGATGTGTTTATGTAAATTGTTTTGTCATATTATTAACTTACAGAATTGCAGGGAAGCACCGCACCACCAGATTATCTTAGTGAGAGTGAACTCATCTCTCTTATGGAAAAGCATGGAATAGGGACAGATGCTTCCATTCCTATCCATATAAATAACATTTGTGAACGCAACTATGTGCAGGTCTAAAAACTCTCTACTTTAATGCATTTCCTAGTTTGCTTGTGTATAGTTATGTACTTACTGGTATTTTAAATGTAAACAATGCCTAAGACTTACTCCCATGTTATTAGCTTATCATTAGATGCGCATCAACTATACTTTTTGGAGACATTACTGCCTTATACGATTGAGTCTAGGAGCTATCACCCTCTTCTACATGTTCATTTTAAAATGGCAAACTCTTTGGAGTGCCTTCGGTGCCTTCATTCATCTTATTAGACCCTTAGAAGGGTTTCTCAGTAATATAAAACAATTTGCTAAATTAATTTCTTCTGTCATCTTATTTGGCATAATGTGTAATTTAGAATAACACTAAGCTTTATGATTTAAGTCCACATCTTTAATATGTTTCAATTTCTTTTTCTTTCACTTTAAGTGATATTTCTTGTTATCTTTGCCTTTTTTTTGGCTTTATTTTTTGCATTTTGTATCATATATGTTGTTTATTAATTTTTTTCTATGATTTATTTTCTAAATTATTATTTTTCATTCTATTTACTTTCTTTTTTTTAATCTCATATGTTTGCCTCTTTATATATTGTCGTCTTCATCATCATCATCATCAACATCATTGTCATCCCCCAACTATTTGTGGCTAGATTAAATCCTAATCTATCGTTTGTTCTTGTTTTGTGATGTTTGAGATGTTAAACATATCTTTTGTATATTATTTTGAATAATTTCTATCCATGTAATCTTATATAATCATTATTGAATTTATTCTTTTTAATTTTACCAGACAACATTGTAACATTTTTTTTTTTTTCGCTCTTTTTACCAGACAACATTGTAACATTGTAACATTTTTTTTTTTTTCGCTCTAAACATGGATATCAGTTGATTGTTTTTACAACCCAACATTTGAATCCATGCATCATTATCGGCCTAATTATGGTTTTTCTTATAAGCATGTATAATATCAACTTTTCAGATAAAACTCTTAAGATATCTCTCCATTTTAACTACCTTGCCTTAACTTTAGGAGCTGTTCCCATATTTGTCTCTATTTTTCTTATAATATGTCTAAGATATTTAAATTGATTGAACCTAGGTATTGTCTTATCTTATAAAATATTAAATGTTAATTGTTATTATCAATGCCCATCAAAATTACATATCATATAGTCAGCCTTTTTTATAATAATTCTAAGGCCTCTATCTTCTTAACATTTCTTCTGTTGTTCTAATTTTTCAATGATTTCATTGGATGTCCTACCAAGTAGAAGGCACCAACAACAATAAGCCGGATCGGCTACATGAATCATTTTTTTCCATTATGTCATATTGAGTGTTATATTTTCATTTAATTCTGATGAAATAAGATCATTTTTTATACAATATGTCAAAGTCTTTTTAGGTGTACCTTTACCTTTTGTTAACATAAGTCAAATTTAAGACATCTACTCTCCTAATTTGGTCAACATGCCCAAGCCTTTATCCCACCAAGTAGAAGGCAACCCACTTTTAATGTCTTTTGTAAGAATCTCCATAACCAATTGATATAAACTTATGATAATTGAGAACTTTTCAGTTCCTCCATGACTATTTCTATTAATAGTACTCCATATATATTTTTAATAATGTTAATCTATCCTTGCCACACTTTTTTTTTTTTTTGCTTTAAAGCAAACAACATCAATTCTCATAGTACTTAATCAAACGCATTCTTACAATCAATAAATATTATAAATGTCAATTCTCAAAATCAATTTGGATTTATGACGAGTAGGTCCCTGAAAGCTATACATTTATTGAGAGGTTTGATGGAGAAGTACAGAGAGAGTAACGAGGATCTACATATCCTTTGGAGAGTTCTAGAGAAAAAACATGTTGATGTGACTTATATTCAAATCATTAAAGATATGTGTACTAGAGCTCTTACTTGTGTTCGAACAGAAGGAGGGTTGACGAAGTATTTTCCTATTTCAGTTGGATTACATCAAGGATCTGCTTTAAGCATTTATCTTTTTTGCTTTAGTTATGGATGCTTTTACTGGACATTTATAGAATGATGTATCTTGGTGTATGTTTTTCTTTGATGATATCCCTCCTTGTGGATAAGACTAAAGAAGTAGTTCAGGAAAAACTTGAATTGTGGTGGTCTACATTGGATTCTAAAGACCATGGGATATAATTTTGGTAGTAGTAGCTTTAGTGGCAGAGTTGTAACTATGGGTGATCAAATCATTAAAAGTTGTGAACGTTTTAGATATCCCGGGTCTATTGTTCCAAGTGATGGTGATATAGATGGGGATGTTATTAGTAGAATTCAAGTTGGTTGATTGAAGTGGAGGAATGCATCAAGTCTATTGTGTAATAGAAAAGTATCGCTTAGACTTTAAGGAAATTTTTTAAGATGGTGGTGTGTCGGCCGTTTTTTATGTTCAACTTCACTTTCGTAGTTTGAAAAGGTGATGATTTTGGAATTTTGAAAATAATTTAAATATAAATATAACTTTTTTTAAAGAAGTAACATTTTAATTTTTAAAATAAGTGAGACCAAACGAGTCTCACATTTTTAA